ATCTAAATAATCCTAACTAATGAGATTTTTGACTAATCTTATCAGAAATTGTTTGACTGTTACTTGAATCAAGCTTGAAAAGTGAAATCATTTGTTACATGTAGAAACGTATTTGTGCTTTTATTTCATTTTATTTTTTTTTTTAAATTGCAGACTAACTTATTACCAAAAAAATAAAAATAAATTAAACACTAATATTCCAAAATGATACTTTTTTATGTCATTCTAATAGTCCATGTTTCTTTTATCGTACAGCAAAAGTGCGGAGTATTGAAATAGGGCTAAAAGAGTAACATACTGGACCAAATATATAAATTTTAAAAAAATTATGATATAGACAAGAATATAAATTACCAAGAAAATATTTCGACGGGTGATATGGCTTAAATCCAATTTATCCACCAAATTTAGATTATTAAATCCCATGAGTAAGTGTGGAAGGATAGTTGTTTCCCCAAACTTAAATATCACTATTTCCTTTTCCTAGAGGTACTTGTATCAATCTCTTTTGTTTCTATGTTATAAAAACGAAAAGAAATATTACATGAGAAGACGATAAGTTGTTTCTGCCATAATCATAACTAATTTTTAAAAGGGGAAAGCAAAAAAAAAAAAAAATAAACTATTGAGCAAATTGGCTCATTCAAAAAATGGTATTTTACTTGAGAAATTATTGCTGAGCAAAAAGACGACCCAAAATTTAGTGAAATGTGATATTAACATCCACCTTTTTTTTAATTAAGAATTTTTATTTTTTTAAAAAAGAAAACCCCTCTGTGCTATATCTCACTTTCATTCCCTATGGCATTACAAAGCCCAAATTTGGCTCAAAGAAAAAGAACCCACTCAGCCCAAAAAAAGAATCGAACGTTGGGCCTAATAAATAGAATCATGCTGGCATGCTGTCAGATCCCGGTGAAGGATGGGACGGAAATGGGCGAAAATCCGGCAGGCTGGAGATGGGGAAAGGATACGGTTAGGGTTCGTCAACCTGAAATTGGGAAATACTTCACAATATTCTGTAAATATCAATTCAATACATCATTTTCGTTAATGAATTTTCAGTACATTGTCCTTATTTATAGTCAACTAGTCTCTAATATTACAGACAAGTCCCTAAACTATGGAAGCTAAACAATTAGACCCCTAGATCATGACACATGCTACAAAAAATTAAGGCCTCTTTTACAAAATAAAAAAAAAAATAATAATATAAAAATTAGTGTTTAATTCTGAACTAGAAATGCTAACTGTTACGGAATAAGTAATAAATTAATATTTTTTAGATATATTTTATACAATAATTTCAGGACTACTTAATTCATTAAGAAATTCAGTTTTTGTTATCAAACCAACTGAAATTGAAAAGAAGCAATAGAATGCAGTAAAATCTCCCTAAATTAATCCTCTATTAACTAATAAACTCTATTAATTAATATTTTTCTTCAGTCCCAACTCGGGACTGTTACAAAAAGATGAAAAAACTCAATTAATTTATAAGATAATAATTTTTCAAAAATCTCCTATGTAAATATAGGTCCCCATATTTTTATAAATTAATAAATACCTAAAATAATAAATTAGATCTGAAAGAGTTTAGATCTTAACTTAAGTATTTTTATTTATGTTTGCAATTATCATATTTTTTTTCCTATTAAAAAAATTATAATGTTATAGCTAGGGTTGCAATGGACTTCTCTTAATATAAAAATAATAAATATTCATATTTTCTTACTTATATAAAAAAAATGAAAAAACTCTTTAAATTAATAGCACATTAACTTATTGATAAACTAATAGTTATTAATTTGTCGATAAATTAATAGGTCGATAAATTAATAACATTTTGGAGGCCCAAGTGTATTAACATGTAGAGGTTTTACTGTAATTATAAGCAATAAGCAATATTTTCATACAAGCCTCTGGTCTTAAGTCGAAAACATGATCAATTCCCAAATTTAGTGTCACTTTCTTTGTTTTTTAAGGCAGTTGAACGAGTTTTTCTTCTTCTTCTTCTTCTTTTTTTTTTTAGCATACATATATAAATGGAAATTGCTCATAAGCTAACAAATCTAATCTAACTATGTCCTGAATACCAACCCAGTTCATCTCCATTATTGACTAGAGGTGTAAAACATAATTTTATTGACTACTATAACATAACAAAATGGGCCATTTCTTCAAAAAAAAAAAAAAATTTAAGAAAATAAAATTTCAATAAAGAAAAAATAATAAATTTTATTGGCTACTATAATAGAACAAATTCAATTATTTTTCTAGAATAAAATTTAATACACACACACACATATATATAATATCTTCTGAAGAATATCAGTACTACTCATTTCGTGATCTTGCACGTATGAGCTCCCTAGGTAAAAATGCATTTTGGTTTTCCCATTTATAATAACTTTTTGATATTGTTCTATTGATTCTTAAAAATATGTGAACATGAGTTTTGTGCATGGTGCGCGTATTGATCTCTTTTATCCTCTATTAATCAAAGAGTCATCTGCCAAAACCAAATAAATAAACAAGAATCTATTATGCCTTTCGTGATTGTAGAATGAAAATCCAAGTGTCAGATAATAATGTCTTCTCACTATTTTGTGTAGAAAACTTATCGCATACTATTGAAATGCCATCCTGGCCAAATCGTCAAGCTCATTTTGCATCCTGAGGAATGGATTTCTTGATTATATTAGCTTGATCAAGATGAATTATGCTTCCGTAGCCGTTTCGAGTTAAATAGAGTGTTATACATGATCCATATGTGGAAATCAAAATCCTTCATTTATGCCGTTGGTGAGCCTGTGAAGCAGAAGGGGTTTTCAGAAACATAAAATTTAGGGGGACAAAAAAAAAAAAACGGAAACAAAAATTATAAAAAAAAAAAAATTGAAGAAGAAGGAACCTACGGTTCTCTAAACATAAAGGCCAGAAGCCATAGAGAGACCATTGAACGTTTGGTTTTCAGTTCCATCTTCACTTTTGCCACTTCACTTTCCATGGCCGGATGATCGGAGAAGACCGGAGAAGGAGATAATATCCAGAAGTCATAAAAAAAGCTTTTTGATTTTTTTTTAATTATATTAAATTTTTAATTAAAGAAATAGGAAAAATAATTTTTTTTGTTGGGTCAAACTAGTGGGCCCCACTATCAGTAAAAATAATAATAAAAAATTATATAATTTACAGAGAAAAAATTTTGATCGTTAAGTCTTCAAAAATTCTGTTAAATTAACTAAAATTGACGAGAAAAATATTTTAGGGGATTATTTTTGCTAATTGAAAATTTATAGTTACTCGATCTTGCTACCGTCAAAAGTTGGAGGACGAAAAGTGCATTCGATCTTTATGCAAATTACATGAACAATTGAACACTATTCCGTCTCGAATAATTATCTTCTTTGCAAAATGATTATCTTCTCTGTCATATCCTTATTTTGATCCTTCCTACTTAATTTTTTGCTTGTCCACCCTTTGACAAGTTTTTTCTTTTCTTCTTTTTTTTTTCTTGAAAAAAAAAACTATATATTAATGTTTTAAGAAGGAAATTAAAAATGGCTGTAAAAATATTCAACCAATGTCTTCTCCAAATACCCTTTAATTTGAACCGAAAGGAGATTGCATATTTCCAATTATTTCGAGAGTGGACTAATTGCGGGTCAATATTCCTGTGTGGTTGCTCTTATGATCTTATTATCCATGTGGTTGTCTAAGTGTGTCCATGTGCTTTGGTTCCCCTCATCTACCAAAGTACAAAATTCTACGTTCTGTCATACATACTCATTTCAGAAGTCTGAACTTTGATTTTTTTTTTTTTTTATAAAAATAATATATATTTTCATGTACTTTTATGTGTCCGTTCCAGAAATATGACGAAAAAAGTTTTATGGGTTTTATATTCTCGTTTTAGAGGTTGATGATTTGAGCTTCAGTTATAAGCTGAAGTAATCATACTATTAATCCTTTATATGCTAATTTTGGAGATTAGACACTAAAACCTTAGGGGAAGGAAGAAGGAGGAGGAAGAAAGGTTCAAATGGAGCCATGGGCCGACTCCACCATAGTTGAATGATTGATTACTCAATGATACTATTTCCTAGTTTTTACTTATTGAAAATATGTGGATATTATTGGCTCAAATAGCTCCAAATGCCAAATTGATATACTGTATTTTTCCAATTGGAAATTAAAGAAATTTCAAGTTGAAGTGATGGGGGTAATTGGTGGGGTGGAATATCTTATTAATTTGATGTGATCATATACTTAAATGCTTTTATTGGTAGATAGATAAGAGCATCAAAGGACAGCTAATCTTAAATAGTGTTATTTAGCTCACTAGTCACCAACACTGATCACAATTCCTGTCCCAATCATTGCTCAACTAATCAAATATTCCACTCAAAAATGAAAAAAAAAAATGTTTTAAAATCAAGGATTGATTTTGGAGTGATTTTCTTCTTCTTTCTTTCTTTTTTTTTTCAATTATTTAAGGTGATAAATATTCATCCTTTTGTCATAGGATTCTCATATCATACAGCTTGAATCCCTCTTGCGAGAGGTGGAAATTTGTATGATATTGGCAATAAAGGGCTATTCTGAATGTTTAAGAGAAAGTTTTTACTTCATAGAATGACCAGAGTATGTATTTATGCTGGAATACAAAATCACTTCAAAAAGTTTAATTGAAATTTATCATACCATTAAATCTTGTCTATAAAGAAATTATGTAAATGTAGCTAGCCATCTAACTGACAAGTTCACTTGAACTGTATTCCATAAGGCTGGATCATAGAATTTGCTTGGCTCAATGAAGTTCATGGACATTAATGTCGGTTGATTTAATTAACAAGAAAATTTGTAATGCACTAATACTACAATGTCAATATTAAAATGGAATGGAGGGAATAATCAGTACAACTTTCAGAAAATCTACATCATTCCGCTTCTTTTTTGTTTAACTGATTTAGAATTGGGGGTGGTGGTAAGAAAATATATCCATCAACTTTTTTCTCCCTAAGGAGATAAATGTATATTTATTTGAATGTATACACCAAATTCCAGCTAAGAAGAAATTCTGTTGAAATTGACATTGCCACCCAAATAATAGGCAAAATAATACCCACATGAAATTATTAATAATCCCTTACATTATTGTAAAAGATTGAACAAGGAAGAAAAAAGAAAAATCAACAAAAATATCAGTGTCTCAATCAGTTTTCTTTCCTGCTCTCGCTACAAATTCCAACTCTCTCATTCAACTTTCCATGTCCCCTCCCTTTCTCTCATTCATTCTTCCATTTATAACTTCCAACTTAATACAAATTCTTTTACATTTTGATTCTTTTTAGAAATAACCCACAAATTCTTTTTTTTCTTTGCATAGAGAAAATGAGGGAAATTCTTCATATTCAAGCAGGGCAATGTGGTAACCAAATTGGTGGTAAGTTCTGGGAAGTTGTTTGTGATGAACACGGGATCGATGCAACCGGAAACCACGTCGGCGGCTCCGAGGTTCAGCTTGAGAGGGTTAATGTTTATTACAATGAAGCCAGTGGTGGAAGGTATGTTCCCAGAGCAGTGTTGATGGATCTTGAACCTGGAACAATGGATAGTTTGAGGACTGGTCCTTATGGGAAGATTTTCAAGCCTGATAACTTTGTGTTTGGTCAAAATGGTGCTGGAAACAATTGGGCTAAAGGGCATTACACTGAAGGAGCTGAATTGATTGACTCTGTTCTTGATGTTGTTCGCAAAGAAGCAGAGAACTGTGACTGCTTACAAGGTAAATTAAACTTGCAATTTCCTTTTTATAGTTCATCAACTGTATTGTTGTCGATGAAATATGGATCGTATAAAAAATCGTGTTAACGTGACTTTTTTTTTGTGTTGTTATGACAGGATTCCAAATTTGTCATTCACTTGGAGGAGGCACAGGATCAGGAATGGGAACTTTGCTGATATCTAAGATCAGGGAAGAGTATCCTGACAGAATGATGTTGACTTTCTCGGTGTTTCCTTCTCCTAAGGTTTCAGACACTGTTGTGGAGCCGTACAATGCTACCCTGTCTGTTCATCAGTTGGTTGAAAACGCTGATGAATGTATGGTTCTTGACAATGAAGCCCTCTATGACATCTGTTTCAGAACACTCAAGCTCACTAATCCAAGCTGTAAGTTCCCCAAAAATTTCAGCCTTCTTTTACTGTCAATAAAAGTACGTATTTTTGATTGAGCACGATGGGGACATATAATCCATATAGCTAGCTCGCAGACCACATATATATATTTTTTCATAGTGAATGTAAATCATGCCTGAAACAGGACCTGGAAAAATTGAATTTCTGTTTCTTGGACTAATGGACTCTGTAGCCACATTGAATCAAAGCGATTCACTATTCTGTTTGTTTGTTTGTTTTTTTTTTTTTGGTGTAGTTGGGGATTTGAATCATCTGATTTCAGCAACAATGAGTGGTGTAACATGTTGCCTACGTTTTCCTGGACAACTAAACTCCGATCTTCGAAAACTAGCCGTAAACTTGATCCCATTCCCTCGTCTACACTTTTTTATGGTTGGTTTTGCGCCCTTAACGTCAAGAGGCTCACAGCAATACAGAGCCCTCACAATTCCAGAGCTGACTCAACAAATGTGGGATGCCAAGAACATGATGTGCGCGGCCGATCCGCGCCACGGCCGATACCTAACAGCCTCCGCAATGTTCAGAGGCAAAATGAGCACAAAAGAGGTGGATGAACAAATGATCAACGTGCAAAACAAGAACTCGTCCTACTTTGTTGAGTGGATTCCAAACAACGTGAAATCGAGTGTGTGCGATATCCCGCCAACAGGGTTGGCAATGTCTTCCACATTTATGGGGAATTCGACATCGATTCAAGAGATGTTTAGGCGTGTTTCGGAGCAATTCACGGTGATGTTTAGGAGGAAGGCTTTCTTGCATTGGTATACTGGGGAAGGAATGGATGAAATGGAGTTCACTGAGGCTGAAAGTAACATGAATGATTTGGTTTCTGAGTACCAGCAATATCAAGATGCAGTGGCTGATCATGATGAAGAATATGATGATGAACTTGAAGGTGCTGAGGAAGCCTAATGAGAATGTTCTTTTTGTCAAGAATGGATTTAATATTGCTTGCATTGCTGTTGGATAATCGCATTAATTTATGGCTTTTTTTTTTTCCTAGTGAATGATGAATTCTTGCAAGGTTGTGATTTTGGTTTGTTTTTATACAATACATGGAGTGAATGTTAATACAGACGTTTGGACATCATACATGAGTGATTTTTGTTTTCTCTGTTGTTGCATAATTGAATGATCCGCTCACTTTTCTAATAATTTTTACATGTTTTTGTGGTCATATTTTTATACAATGATCTGCTTCCTACTTTCCAAAAAAAATCGGTTCCAAATCCGGATCCCGGTGGGAATCTAGAATAGAGGGCTTCCTGTCTATATACATACATATATATATATAAATATGCTCAGACCTTCTATTTTGCGAATCCTCCCTTTTTTGGTCACCCATCAATGGATATGGATCCAGTTAGAGACTGGGGGTCGGGTCTTCTTCACGAGATGTTGGAGAGTTGGCAAATCATTTACTGTCGGTTGAAGATCTCATGGCTTCCAGAGGGGTTTGTACTCGTGGCGAGATGCAGCTAGCTAGGAAAGATGAGTTTGTCCATCCGTCCTCTAGGGTTCCGTTGCTTATGCTTACAGAAGAGGATAATAAAAAAGACATGGACGACGAAGGACGTGAATTTTATACCCTTTCAAAAAACAAGATTTCCATGAGATTGTCACTCCCGGAGACACGATGCATGGAAGAAGGGTTTGGGTGGGTTTTAACCGTTTCGAGCTCAGGGGAGCTCAATTTGTTGAAACCTCTATAACTCGTTCCCAAATCCAACTCCCCAGCTGCGCAACTTTCCCTGATAACCACGACACCGATTTTTCCGACTTGATGTTTATCATAACAGTTGCTCTCGCAGCCAATCCATCGCGCACCTCCAGTTTTGTCCTTGTGGTAATTCATGAATGGGGTCAATTCTTGGGGTTTTGGAGGCCTGGGGATCTCTGCGGTGGACCGAGATTGAATCTCGATACTACAATGGAAAGTTTTATGCGGTTGATGATAGACATGGTACTTTATGGGCGTGGGATGAATCCTCATCCATACTCAAGCTTGCCTTCGCTACCGATCCTAAATTTTTCAGAAATAGAGATTCATATCTAGTGGAATCATCTGGCGGCAAGCTACTAATTGTTAACCGGGACGGTGTTGTACGGTGTTGAGGAAGATCAAAGTTACAGGGTTAACAATTTTAAGGTGATTCAATTGGATGTTACAAAATGCTGAGTTGGAAGAGATCACATGTTTGGGAAAGGATGTTGTTTTTGTTGGCCATAGTTCTGCTGTCTCTTTTATGGCTTCTGCCTTCTCGGATGTCATTAAGTCCAATTGTATCTATTTTACCGATGATTGTTGGGAAGCCTACTCCTATACTATAGGAAGAGGTTTGGAAGAGGAGGAGGGCGGCTTGGTTTAGGGTGCGGTGAAGATATGGGAATTTATAATCTTGAAGATGGAAGCAGTATTGAACGTTTCAGTAATATTGGGTCTGCTAGTTTTATAAGCCCGCCAGTTTGGATATCATTCTAATAAGCACTTAAGGCTTTTGTTTGTTTTTATTTTTGTTTTTTTTTTGTTCCATATGTGAACGTTGTACCAAACTAGCGTGAAAAACAGTAGAATAATTAACATCATGACGAGATCATTACAAAAGCCATGGGGTTCCACCTCAAAGGCTCAAACACTAACCATCAGCCTATTTGGGTAAATACGGTCATCATGCTGTACCCGTGCGGTATAAAAATGGAAACATCAACCAACAGACATGTAGACACAAACATCTAACTTTGAAATTTTGCAGCTGAAGTGATGTGGAACAAACACACTTGAAGATATCTCCATTGTTAAATTCTGATACGAGTCCTTTTTCCCTGGTTTAGGAACTTATAATCTAGTTAACATACACCTTTAAAGATAACTAGCCAAGTTCTAACCGCATATCTTGTGATTAGATTGTAAGAATTGATTTGAAAAATTATACTACCTCCGTCCCCTAAAAAAAAAATAGACAACATTGAGTTTTCAAATTTGTACTAAAAACAAGTACAAAACTCAAAACCTGGACTATTTTTGTGGGAACGAGGGAGTACAATTAATTGACACGAGTTCTACAAAGCCTCCAGATGCAAATAATTGACCATAGCTGCCAAATCCTAAACCAGTAACTGAATCGGTATGACAAACCTGCAAATAATCATTTCCGGTTTCAATTTCCACATTAGAGCAAAGTTAACATTATACATAAATCATAGGTACCTTGTAATTCAAAAGCCCAATCTGCTTGACCAATATTCCAAAGAAATCCTTTATTATCTCCGCGCACCCACTGAATTAGGATCAGTTTACAGTTCACCAGTAACATCGAATGAATGAAACAGGAGTTACGTACTAATGGACATAAAATTGCAAGGATATGGCATTATTAGCGACCCACAGTTTTCACTTTTATCTACCCAGACAACAATCTGCTTAATCAAATCCAGCAATATTGCAATTTCCAGTGATCCCTCCAAGGGTCTAGATTCTATGGTTTACTGGACTATAAAGGAAAACATCTCAGCGATTATGCCTAGAATGTTCAACTAAACATCTTCTACCAAACTTACAGCCAAACAGAGTAGAGCATCACTTTCTCCACAGAAAAAAAAAACCCCACTGTCCACCTAACAAATTTAATCCCATATTTAAATTTTAATTTCATGATGAAATCACATTCTACAGCGAGAGTTTGAACAGAAAAACAGCCTCAGAAGGTCACCGTAAAAAATAGTGTGCTAACCTGTTCGATTTTAGACCTAATCACTGATCTATATACTTCATAGTTGGCGCCCAATTGTAAATCCAAGGTTTTTCTGATAGCTCCTTTTAAGATCTGCAGCAAAAAAAAAACCCAATACCCAGGAAGAAAAATCAGTCTGAGACAGATTGGAAGAACCAAATAAAAAAAAAAAAACAATAGCAAACAATGCAGAAGCAAAATATACAGAACCAACACAATTGATAAAACAATATGAGAGAACAAAGGGCAACCTTGCAAAGAGCATTGCTATTAGGATCATAGAGCCTCATAAGAGAGCAATATGCATGGTTTTGCAAGGAGATTTTGACAAATTCACAAGGAATATGATTTATGGAAGAAAAAAATCGAAAATACTTGAGACGCTTGTTAATTAACTATATATGGTGGGAAACTTAGTAGAATAAATTATGTGGAGGTAAAAATCAGGCAAAATCCTGGTAAATCAGCACAAAAATAAAATAAAAAAAAAATGTGGAGATTTGATGGCTCAAAGTTGGGCACCTGTTTCAAAGGGCAAGGGAAGGGCATCAGTTGTAATAAGATTGCATCTCGGGGCAAAATGCAATTAACCCGGATGTTTAGTATAAAAGCCAAACACTATTTTTCCTAGAAATGTTTTTCTTTTTAACCCCCAAAAAAAAATAGTAATAATGATTTTGCAACAAGTGATTTTAAAGAAAAAAAACATAACCCAATTCGAAACGGGAAAACTTTTTGATGCCATTACTAGTAACAAGGATAAGGAAATCCGCGGGGTTCGGCAGGGCGAAGACGAAGATCTCTCTAACAGGTATTTGTTCCAACTCCTTGTTTGTTTGGGTGTTGTTCCTAGTACTTTCCGAGTTAAGGTTAGATCCCAAAAATCGTGTCCTAATCCGTATCCCGGTGGGAATATAGAATAGGGCTTGCTGTCTATATATATGTGACCAGATCTACATCCCCTTCCTTTGATTCAATTATCTTCTGATTTTTCGATTCCTGTTTGGCCGCGCGGAAAATCTAAGTCTTGTGCCGTCTTAAGGTTGATCTCAGTACCTTAGTTCGGGAAAAATTTGGTTTTTGTGACTCCCTATTGGTCTACTACCATTAAATGGATCCCTTTAGAGACTGGTCGGGTCTTCCTCGGGAGATGTTGGAAGCTTTGGTGAAGCATTTGCTGTCCATTGAAGATTTCATGGCTTTCAGAGGAGTTTGTGCTTCTTGGCGAGATGCGGCAACCGAAGATAAGTTTGTTAATTCGTCGTCTCGGATTCCCCTGCTTATGCTTGCGGATAAAAAAGATAGCGACCAACGTGAATTTTATAGCCTTTCGAAAAACAAGATTAATATGACATCGTCACTCCCGGAGGCAAAAGGTAAACGATGCATGGAAGCCGGGTTTGGGTGGGTTTTGACAGTTTCGAGCTCAGGGGAGCTCAATTTATTGAAACCTCTGACTCGTTCTCAAATCCAACTCCCCAGCTGCACAACTTTCCCTGATAACCAAGACACTGATTTTTCTGACTTCTTATTTATACAAAGAGTTGCTCTGTCAGCTAATCCATCACACGCATCAAGTTTTGTTCTTATGGTAATTCACGAATGGGGTCAATTCTTGGGATTTTGGAGGCCTGGCGACCTGACATGGACCAGTATTGAGCCAGGCATACACCATTTTGGGGATGTTCGTTTCTACAATGGAATCTTCTATGCGGTGGATAGACATGGCGATGTATGGGCGTGGGATGAATCCTCATCCAAACTCAAGTGTGTCTTTGGTACCAATCCTAGATCATTCATCAATAGAGATGCATATCTAGTGGAATCATCTAGCGGCAAGTTACTAACTATTACCCGGGATGGTGTTTTACTTAACGAGGAGGATGATCAAAGTTATGGGGTCAACAACTTTAAGGTGATTCAATTGGATGTGACAAAATGCGAGTGGGAAGAGATCACATGTTTGGGAAACGATGCTATTTTTGTTGGCCATAGTTCGGCTGTCGCTATCGTGGCTTCTGCCTTTCCGGATGTCATTAAGTCCAATTGTATCTATTTTACGGACGATTGTTGGGAAGCCTACACCTATAGGGAGATGCTTGGAAGAGGAGGAGGGCGGCTTGGTTTAGGGGGCGGTGAAGACATGGGAATTTATCATCTTGAAGATGGAAGTATTGAGCGTTTCAGTAACATCGAGTCTGTTAGCTTTATAAGTCCGCCAGTTTGGATATCATTCTAATAAGCACTTAAGGCTTTTGTTTGTTAGGATTTTGTTTGTTTTGTGGTTGAGTTATAGCCAAAATTGTCATGATTTTGTGTCTTGCAAATTGCTGGAGGATTTTATTGTTTTGTGCTTTGTTTATGCTGCCTCTATCCAAGATAAGATTCATGTATGAATAAAATGCATTCTTGGGAGGGGAATTCAGAATTGTTATTTAGAGAGTTGTATGTATTTGTATTAGTTAAGGTCATTTATTCTTCAATTCTCGAGGTGTATGTGTGAACCAACTTTAGCCGCTAGTAGGCACTTTTGGTTCGAGTGCACTCAATAATATGCAAAGTTTACAAAAGTATCATTTTGATAGTTGTTAATTCTGTTTTTAATACAATTATATCCTACTGTGGAAGTAATTTCATTGGACAATGAGTAACAGTAATATATCCTGTGCTTCATAGTTTTTGTATGTTGCTATTTTCCATGGCTTCTGGCGCTGCTGGTGCCTGGATGCAATCAAGTAGTTGTTCGTATGAATGCATCTTTGGAAGTAGCACCCATTTATTGGAGAATGTAGATTTGATGCTGAAATAGGATTCAAATAAGTTAACAGTGATATAAAAGGAGAGTAGGCATTAGACGGGAAATATAACTAGTTTGATGGTTATTTTCTTTGGATTTGGTTACTGCTCTTCCAAATTTGAAGCTGAGCCATATGATGCAAAGTGAATGGAGAACAGATCTGGCCCTATGTGATTACATTACAACTTTGGTGGGGATTTGTTTCACTCTTTCTGGTTATTGATTTGCATTTTAACTACACCGTTTTCGCATTTCCTTTGTAAAACAAAACCCTTAATGTTTCAAATAGAGCCAAAGATTACCCACATGACAATTTAGAAATTTGATCAGTGCATGGCTTTCATGTACACTGCCAATTATCTGTTGTATTTCATCATCCAAATGAATTAGGCAGAGAAGTGAATGGATACAACTCATACAAGTAGTTTGATACACCATCTACTGTTTGTTCATATATCTTAACTTTTCTGCAAATAGTGAGCATGCGTCACCACTTCCCTCGAGGCTCGAGCCCAAGCACAGGGGACTTGTCGCAAGCCATTTCTCTTGATCAAATTTTCTTCACCTTGTCATTAAGTCCAATTAGGAACTTCCAGTGCCACCTTGCTTGTGCCATTATATACTTCAGCGACACCCATGCATTTAATTAGACATTGTACCACTAAAACATACTCCTTCCATTTCAAAATGTAGGTCGTTTTAGGTTTGGAGAGATTTTCTAAATGTAGGTCGTTTTACAAATTCTAAGCAAATTAAATGATGCTAATATATTTTTATTTAGTCTTGTTTATAGTTCCAATGTAATTAATCAGGGGTAAAATAGATATTTAACACT